AAAAAGTTTTCATTAAGTTTAATAAAGATAAGAGCATGGTCTCACCTTTAACATTAAAAAAAAAAAAAAAAAAAATCTTTTTCATATATGCCTAGTAATGGAGCTATACGTAAACAAATTTCTTGTGCTAGAACTAAAAATATGCCTACACAACCTCAGTCATTAGAAAATATTAATGTTCCAGATCAGCTATGTATAACTATAAAAGGAGAGCAATTTTTAGCAAAAGATATTGAATTTAATAATGAAAAAATTATGATATTTTGTACAACAAACAACTTTCACTATTTAGAAGAAGCTAGATATTGGCTCATGGATGGTACCTTTAAGACTGTTCCAACATTATTTCAACAAATGTATACTATCCATGCTCTTGTTGGTGGAGAAAGTAATTCACATGTTTTTCCAATAGTTTATGTACTAATGACTAGTAAGACAGAAGAAAGTTATACACAATTATTTCAAGAACTGATTAATTTAGGTTATAAAGCTGGATATGAATTAAGCCTACCAATTATTATAACAGATTTTGAACAATCTGTTATTAATTCTATTCATTTAAATTTTCCTAATTCAACCAATAAATGTTTTTTTTTCACCTTTGTTAAAGTCTTTGAAGACAAATTCAAGCTAAAGGTTTCTCAATTGAATATGGGTCAGATTCAACTTTTAGTATCAAATTACGTCATTTAACAGCTCTTGCATTTCTTCCTTCTACTGAAATCCCAGCTGCTTTTGATCAAATAAAACCCTTGATGCCTCCTAATGCTAGTAATATTATTAACTATTTTGAAAATACTTATATTCGTAGAGAAATTCGGCAACAGCTTAGAAATAGAAATATAATTTATGATCTGCCACTATTCTTACCATCACTTTGGTCAGTATTCAAGTTAATTACACAAAACTATCCTAGAACTCAAAACTTTATTGAAGGCTAGCATCATAGATGGAACAATATTATTGGAAAAGCCCATGTTGGTGTTTATACAATTATAGAAGAAATGCGTAAAGAACAACACCAAACAGATATAAATATTGAAAGAGTTTTACGTAGAGAGCCTTGACCATCTCAAGCTAGACATGTTGTTAACTATGAAAAATGTATTCAGGCAGTTTTTAATAGTCGTAATGATTATACTCTTGTTGATTATTTAAGAGGAATTGCACATAATATCTCATTATAAAATTTACACTTATTATTTTTATTATTTTTTTTATTTGTGTTTTTATTTTCGTTCTTTTTTATTCTTGCTTTTAGTTTTTTTATATTGGAATTTTTTATTCAATTTTATCTTTTTATTCAATATATTGATCATATTTATCTTCTTTTTATTTATTTTGATTTATTTATTTGTTTAGCATATATTAACCTAGTATTCTTAACTATTTGTTTTTATTTTCATATTTAGTTTTTTATTTTTACTTTTAGTTTGTCTTTGATTTTTTATTTTCATATTTTTTTATACCTATTTAGTTTTTTTTTTACAATTTTTTTATTTTTTTTTTACAGTTAGATCTTTTTTAATGCAATATGATTATATATAAATATATGCACTTAGAAAGGTATTATATTTAGAAAAGTAAAAATTATAAACATAATATTAGTTAAACTTAGAAGAAGATGTGCATTTAAGATTTAATAGAATATATTTTTAGAGGAGTTGCATTTTGGGGTTTAACTATATTTTTTTTATTTTTATTTTTTTTATTTTATTTTCTTTACACATTATGCTAACACATTAAGCTAATACTTATCTTTTTAAAACCAAAAAATTAAAAAAAACTGACTTGCCAATTGAGTATCAATAATAGAATTTATAATAAAGTTCTAAATATTTTTAAATTTATATTTTTTTGTCTTTTAATATAGCTTATAGTTATTTTTCAAATCTAAAATAGAAAACAATAAAGCTACGTATAATACTTATTTTATTTGGTTTAATTAACTAGAGATTATATTATATCTGAGAATTTGTCTTCAATTCTCTTTTTTATATTTGTTTAATTTATTATTTGTCTTTTATATTTGTGCTATTATAGCTATTGTCGCAAATTATTAATTTGTAAGAATTTGATATTTCTAAACTTAGGCTCTTGAGTTTAATAAGAATCTTTTGAAGTATAAAATAAAGAAAGCTAATATAGAACTGAAAAAAATTTTATTTGCGTATTATTTGAGACCCTGTATGTTATTTTAGAACACACATGTGTAGTGATTCAAATCATTTTAACAAAGTGTTACAAGAGAAATCCCTACTTTTATTAATGAGCTTAGCCTGAAAAATTTGATCAAATATGTAATGTGGTATATTTAAAAAGACATGTTGGCTTGGGACATGTATGAACATTATTTTGAGTCCAAAAAGCAAATTTTTTAAAAAATAGAATTCATTATTATATGCAAATATAGTAATAAAACCACACAGTATATATCAGATTTGCACTATATGATATAATTAATTGCATACGTTTCTGGCATTATTATTGAAGAGAGAGTAGCAGGCAATAATGCTGAGTAATTTAAAGTCATGGGTGCTTGTTTAAGAGTAATGTAAAGAATCAGGATAAACCTCAAGATTCAATCTACAATTAGACATTTATGATAATAGAGAATGAGAACAGATTATTTATAGATAGAAACAAGACATGAGAGATTCTCTTTATTAGAGAGAGGTCAAAAAACATATAGCTCTAATATTGAGTAAAGAACTAGCATTTATATATATGCAATGAGTCATTAGAGATATTATATAATCTAAAAATCGTAAATGTATCATTATCTCATAAGACTATTTACCTTCTGAATGTGAATCCATCTGACTAAGAACTAATTCTAGGAATTAATACTCAATATAGATAACTATATATGAAGCCTATATATCTTCGGTTCCAAGTGAGACTTGGAACTTACTCACATCCCACATGCATCTTGAGCATTTAAATAACCAAAAAAACAAAAGTGTATTAATACATATTTTGCATATATTTTTTTTTAATGCTATATTTAATATACAAGTTGCATGTAAAATGCAAGTCAAGTTCTAAGCCTGACTTGGAACTGAAATTTTAATATCCCTAATCTCAACTACACTCCCAAAACAAGGCTGATTTACACTAATTACGAATTGATCATAACACATGACTAGTTTATGTTGTTATCTAATTCTTAATATAGATTTGTATCCTGCTAGAAACTGTTAAGAGTTTGTATTAATAGTCTTTCACATAGATCTCCAATTGTCTAAATTCTTTATTGGAATTAAAATAAAGTATGTCCAGTTAGAGGTGGCTCCGAAGCAGATAATAGTAATAACTGTATAGATAAGTACAAAAACTATGTGAAGATAGTGATAATTATAGATGCTGGTGAAATTAATTTCACCAATTCACCGCTAATTTCACCAATAGTGGTGAAATTATTTCACCACATTTCACCATATTTCACTAACATCTATAGTGATAATTATGAAAACAGGGCGAATTCACTTCACTTACATCATATAAAAAATGTTACTTAATCCATTTAATAAAGTTCAGATTTATTTGATTATTAGAATATTAATGAAACAAATAATGTTGATTAGTTTCAAGATGGAATTAGAGTCAAGAATGATGAATGTAGAACATTTGAATATTGTGAGAAATCTGTTAATACAAGTGAAATTTTAGAACAAATAATGGCTAGGTCTCGATATGAAAAGGAATGAATCTAGAATTCTAATTAATTGAATGCCACCGTTTCAATTCTTTGAGCTGGAATTGATGTTTGATTATCAATCAGTTTAGAAATCTGAATTAGTTTTAGTGTTCTTATGCATTTTTTTCTATGTTATTAATAAAGAAAAAATTGATGTTCTCAGAACATTGTGAACATCAGATTTCTAACACTGGTTATCATATATCTTAAGGAAGGAGAGAAGAACCAATAAAAGGCACACTACCCAAATATATTAACTTTACAAGTAATGTTGGGATAAGGAACTTATTAATCATTTAGAAATGAATTTATTCCTGAAACATTAAATCAAATTATTTCGAATGAAATTTCAATTTTCTTCCTTAAACAAATAATACTTCATTATTATGATTCCTGAGTAACTTTATAACTAGGTGTTAATAACTTGCGCTACTAAGGGCCAAACTCAAACAGCAGATATGATCAATCAGATAGTACAGTATATAATACTATGTACACAAGCAATAGTATTCATTGTTCATTCTAGTTATTATGGAAAATGAATAACTACTAATTTTATACATACAAATTTTGACTTTTAAATTAATTATATACTTTAATATATATTATTTATACTTTGCTATTAGTTTATTTCTTCTTAATTTATGATTTTTTTGTCCCAATCGATCAGGTCATGTGGTCACAATATCGATTGCTTCATACAATTTTTTATTAATTAATGTAATAGCTACCAAAGGGCATAAAAGTTAAAGAACATATATAAATATGACAGACAGATATAAATAATAGAAGCTGAAGTTACAAGCACAATTACATAACCTGGAGCCGCTAACTGAGGGACCAGATAACGATACTCATAGTAACATTAATTACTGTATTTGTGCGAAATAATGTCCATAGTGTTATCTCGAAATATGTAGTTGAAGTGAGATAATAATTAATTTAACTAGAGACTTTAAACAGCAAAAAGTTTATAATTTGCATTTAATTAAATTAATTATTTCTCTTCAAATTACATGTCCTAAAATAACACCTATTGTATTATTTTGCACAAATATAGATACTTAAATCAATGTAAAAAGTTCTTGAAAGCCATTTTTCTGAAAGAACATTATACCAACAAGGTTAGCTGGCATTAGTTATAAAGCTGGCTGGTTTGGTTGGTATTATATCTTTCGGAAAAATGGCTTTCAGAAACTTGTACTATAACTTTCATAGTATTATGAATTTGGGAAAATATCTTTTCATAAATAAGCTTTCAGCAAAATATCTTTCCATAAATAAGCTTTCAATAAAATAACTTTGAGAAAACAGTATGTCGAAAAAACATGTTATCTAGAAAATGGAATATCAAAAAAATGGTCATCATTGTCGCGTAGCTTTCCTTTGCTACGGCGTAATCGTCGATCTTACTATGTAACTTCACTCACTTGGCAGATACGCG